CTGCAGCTCAGATCACATTTCTTCCATGTTCTGTTATTTGTTGTGAGGAATAATTGAATGTGTCTGCACATTTTTTTTAATGCCTCACGTTGCTGGCACATGCATGGCTGATGAGATCGAGCTGGGGTAGGTGTTTGTAATAAAGCGGATTGTTCTGTTTTGTATTGAAGTGCTGCAAAAAGACAATAAAGGTTTATGTGAAACTTTGGAGGCAACATTTTTAACTGCAACATGTCCATTAACTAGCACCAGATTTGTTATAACATTTATTTACACACCTAAATCTGTTCAGTTATTCATTTATGACTTAATAACTAAAATAATAATTCAATGTCTGAATTAATTTTCCTCTTTCTCAATTCACTATGAGGTCAAGTGTTAAGTGCCACAAAATGAAATGTCGTGTGCATGCACATAATCCCCATATGAAGAATTATATCAAGAACCCTTCCCTCCTGCTGGCAAAGTGTGCAACTGAGCGATTAGATGTCTCCTGTTGAGGTGAAATGCAAAATTGTCGCAGAAAATAGTTCCCTTAACATATGATGGATGTCCAGAAAATACCTCCACCTGCTGCTAGTTAAAGATATACAGTACAATACAATAGACTTAACACATGCAAATGGGGGAAAATCTGAACACTACCAAATACTCACAACACTTCCTTATTCTCAAAACACTTCCAAATACTCACAACATAACCAAATACTCAAAAAAACAACAGAATACTTGCAACACAACCAGATACTCATAACACTAGTAAATACACACAAATCATCCAAATACTCACAACAAAACGAGGCGTTAAACTTGTGCTTATTAGCTTAATGAGTTATGAAACAGGCAAATGTCAAGTTAGCAACGCAACAGTGAAGACAATAGCCTACATGTTGATGTGAAAAAGACAAAGTTAGCACGTTATACAATTAGCTAACACTGTGTTAGCCGGTTTCTTAATTCATTAAGTATATTTTGTCAGCTTACTTGAATTGTGTCCCAGATGTGCTCATAACTTTTCAGTGTCCCCTGGAAACACTTCCTTGTGTTGTGAGGTTTGTGTCATGATGGTTTACTGTGAGTATTTCCACCAAATCCTCATTTACACCTGTTTTCTTAAATTGCACTGCATAGAACATTCAGGGACAATAAGCAAATCGAACTTGTGTTTTTATAAACCAGGTATATTTGTTTTAACACGCCCACAAAAAACATTTTAAAGGTTAGATGGTTTGCAAATCTAAACATTGTCTTTTTATCCATAAGATCCTCATATTCCTCTTTGACACTGGAGCATAATTTTCTAAACAGGTTTGAGTCGCCTTCCTATTTCCTTAAGTTGTTCCCCATTTCCTTCTCATTTTCTGCAGATTGTAATCCTGCTGCTCAATCATGGGGGAAATTAATGTAATTACTGCACACAAATTAATATGTGATATGAAAATATGCACTGTGGCTTATTCACTCAAACCTGCAATGTGTTTATTTACTATTATTTATCTTCTTATTTTCTTACATCTTTACCTCGTTATTTATTTGTTGTCCTCTGAGGCACCGGTCGTTGTGATGGGAGGGAAACTTTCTCCAGTTTGTTTTCTGTTGGTGACAAAAAACATTTCTCAGGGGTTTTATGAAAATATTCAGGAATATACTTGAATAAGACATTATGACAGTGTCACTGTGGCTCAAAGTGCTGCAAGACATTTGAATGATTATGTCAGCGGCTGAACATTGTGGAAATCCACATCTCAAATTATGTGTGTGTGTGTGTGTGTGTGTGTGTGTGTGTGTGTGTGTGTGTGTGTGTTTTCACGTTGGTGTTCCCACGTCTCTTCACAGTAACAGAAAAACAGGAGGAACAAAACAACAAGAGCGAATCTGTTGCCTGAGAGTAATTCCAGAGCAAAACAGACAAATTGATTTTCTCGAACACTGATGAAGCAAAACTGGACTTAAGTTTTGAGTTATGTTAGTTGCTATATGATTGTTTTCAATCGGAGGCTTGTACCCTCTTGGAAACTCTACTTTATTCCTGAATTGAATTGATGTACTCAAAAAGCTCAAATTGAGGCTTGAAATAGTCGCAGTGTTAGCAGGCAGAAACAAGAGCCTGTGGTGGGCAAATCGATAGAAACTTCATTACTTGGAAGCCTGGCTAGTAATCTCCTTGGCTGCAGCTGTGGGGGGGCATACATTCTACCACAGCACCTGTTCTCAGTGATACATGCAGCCTCCACCTGCAGAGGCACAATCGCACACAAACACACAAGGTTCAACACACTCGGACTATCCTACCATCCTTCTCTCTGTCAGTCAAATACAAGCTCACAAGAGCTTCGTGGTATTTTACACTCGCTCCCCGAGTCTGTCTCGTCCGTCCAGATGAGCTTTCTCACATTTGTGCCAGGATGCATCTTTAGCAGCTGACAAGAGCAGAAAGAGAGGAAACTGATGGAGGGAAGCAGCAGAGGAGAGGAGCAGCAGGGGACGTATGAGGTGAAGAGGAGAACAGTGTAGTATAATGACAATTATGAAAATGTGTTCCATGATGTCGAGCCACGGAGAAATTGTTAAGCATTTTTTCCTCTCTATCTTTCTGTCAACTAGAAAATCGTGTCTCTGCAGGAGAAATGACAAATCACGTACTTATCAGGAATAAGGACTCAACTCTCACATTTGTGTAAATCTAATTGTGCTGTATGACAATGGCCAGTGGAAATACAAGCGGGGATGTTTTGGGCCTGAATAGAAAAACAGCAAAGAAAGCTATATGGATTTGAGCACAATGATACTACACTACCTGCAGATGTGTAGTTTGTCTTTCTTTCTGATTTAACCAGTAGGTGGCAGTGACAGAGTTAGAACAACCATGGCTGAATTTGCACATTTAAGGAAATCAGTTCTTACTTTGCACAAAGTTTATCACATCTCCACAGACGTGTAGAAAACAGCCGCAGTTTATTACATTTCATCCCATTTTGCAAAAAAGCTAAACAAATTAATCCTCCCCTGCTTTGTGATGACTACTCGTTCTGTAGGAAATACTGAGATCTGTCCACTGGAGAGCGAGGGATGCAGCTGCAGTGCTGCTGATGCACACGAGTGCATCGAGGTGGAAACTGTGGTTCCATGACAGAAATACAGATACAGGATGTGTATTGTCTTATATCCCTTTGTCTGGGCCCATCTTGGTGCTAAAGGTCAACACTGTCACTTTGTCAAGAGAGAATATGCTAATCATATGCTAATCATATAAAGCCCATTATACTGTGCGTCCACATATTCAAAAGTAAAGCAGAATGGATTTCTGCCCTGTTCAGTACACTTACTGAATGGGGCTTTGTGTTGGAATGGAACTGGAATCTTTGTGCTATTTACAGCGATTTTCATTTTGAAACACACAAAATGCTGGTTTGATTAATAAGATGTTATAAAACAAGTATTTGTGAGACCTTTCATTTTGTGGTACGTGTTTCTTGACCTGTAATAAAACTCCAGCTGGCTCAGCCACTAACTGCATTTACTGGCTTCATTGGTTCATTTGTAATGTGTTAAAGTCACATACAATAGATCACGCATCAGTAATTTCAGTAATAGTTCAGCTCCCTGATGTTCTGAAAGCATTTATACAATTAACAGTGATGGGTCCACAGGGGCGAGGGCAGGTTAGAACAATGAGACTCATCATTCAGTATGTGATTGCCCTAAAGGAAACTTTAGTGATTAATGAGTATCCCATGTCATTCTTCATTTTGAATGTTGTTTTAATATGTATAGCAGTATAGTATATCAGTAAAAGTATAATAATAATGAATTATTATTATAGAGTACATTTTGTTCTGATGTATTCTAAATAGTATCTCTGACAGCTGCCCATGGCATATTAAGCATGTGCTGTTTAATTTTTTGAATGGAAACTTGTCTTAGAGGTCCAGTGTGTAAGATTTAGGTGAAAGGCTCTATTGGCAGATATTTAATGTAGAATAATCCTCATGATGTTTTCACTAGTTCATTTCATCTAAATTGTATGAAAGGGCCGTTTCTTTACCCCAGAAAAGGTCCTTTATATTTAAATACTTTATATTTACATTGAGGGGACCCTCTCTACGGAGGCAGCCATGTTTTTTACTAAACACCTTTTGAGTTTTTATGACAACTGAAGTTTAACAAAGGTTCTTTTTCATGTTTGGAAGCAGAGGGTGAGGTGAGGGGTGTTCAGCTGCAACATGCAATTTGAACACTAGATATCACAAAATTCTACACACTGTACCTTTAATTAAACTAGGTGGACAAACTACTGCTAAAACTAAAACATATCAGATCGATTTTTTATGAATCACAACTCCACACTGATCTCAAATAGGCTTCAAATTTGAAGCCACTGTATCTCGTGACAAGATATTTGTGTGTGGTCATATCCGTCTTACTTAACAGCCATGGCAGCTATCAAGATAGCTTAGCAGCACTTTGATTAAAAGACCAGGGTTAACAGGACATCTGGTTGGAAATCTGGCCAGAGATTATGTCTCACAGCATCATCTTACACACAGAGCAGCAAATTGTGTAATTAAGACAAAAGTAATGCTGCTTGTCGCCTCACTCAACCTCTGAGGTAAAGGGATGTTTTTTTTGGTTAGCATTTTTCACAAAGTGTATTTAATGACACATTTTTTCTGAATATTTTATTACATTTTTTCAAGATAAATGGGGGCGTTGGAAAACAGGGCCTTGCAGTCATATGAAACTCTTTCCTGTGCCAGCAAGATGATTCATGCATGTACGATTACAATAATGACATATAAAATGTTATTACTTTGTATTTGAAATTATTTCAGGTGAGGGGAAATTACTTTTGTGAAATGTTCCATGTTTTTCATCCTGGCGTTATGACACTGAGACGAGCGAGTTGACAGGTGACAAATGGGAGCCACCAGGCGCAGAGGTCATGGTATCAGGTTAACTGACACATAACGACACCGGCCTTTGTGTTACAGCTCCTTGTAATGCACCTCTTCAAGGTAAGTAATTTAAAGCCAACGTTGGCCTGTATCTGTTAACCTGGTTATGTTATGTTGTCTCATGCAAGGTTTTTACAGATGAGCAATTTAAACTACACACGTAAGCATAACAGCAGTGACAAGTGTAACACACGTTGACATTAGAAGCTGCTATTTAGAGGTGATTGTAAAATGATCTTAATTGCTTTTTGGGTGACGATGTCAGCAACTCTGCAACTTTCCGAGTTGTTCCGACTTGTTGTTGACTTGAACTTTCCCAGTGAGGAAAACTTTTTTCCAGTTATTCCAGAAGAATAGAAGTAGAAAAAATGTAAATAAAATAATTATAATTCTGTGGGGTGCACACATTCCAAAAAATATCTCAAAATATAATTATGCTCCAATTTTCGAATATTTTGTATTTAAACAAGATCTCCTGATTCACATTTAGTAGGACCTAATTGGATTAAGAGATTTTGTCATTGGTTGTCTTCAGGATTTGTACATGTGTACACAGACACCTGGAATTGTTTGGGACGTGTTTCTTGAGCTCAGTTGTCTTTGTACACATGTACAATCCCTGAAGATACCATGACCTGGACGAACCTCGACAGATAAACATGTTATTTTTCACACATGATGAATGTTTTTTACCAAGCTAAACATCTATAATCATGTTTATGCTGTGTCACATAAGGAATCTGTTCTAGTGACGATCAACAGCTGAGCGCCTCAGAACCCCTGCACCTCGAGGCAGCTCTCTAATGACTCATCTCCTGATCTGCTGTTTTTCCCACACTCGAAAGCCTCCCAGCGTCCTGCACATACAGGCTGTGTTTACAGAAATATTGTTCAGTGCATGGACTGAAAAACACTGGAATAAATCTTACTGAAAATAAGATCAATCAGTCAATCAATCAATTTGTACAGCAATTAAGTTACAGTGTAACAAAAAGGGGATAACAAGTGAATAAAAAGAGAATAAAAGCAGAATAAAATTAAATGTCTTTTTATAATACATCTACACTCCTCCATCCACCCCCATCTATGCATATAACAGGACAATATTAACAGGAACTGAGGAAACACTAAAGGCAGGTAAAGAGGGTTCAAATGATAAAGATAAATATAATAAAAGGATAAAAGAGATATATGAAAGATGAAACAATAAAATGTGAAGAGATGTGAAAAGGATAAAGAAAAAATAAAGATAAAATCAATTTCTAATCAAGAAGTAAAACCAAAGTAGGGTATTAAAGTGAAAACAAATCAGAGAAAGTAAATTAGTAACTTAATAATTGACTGAATAAATAAAATAGAATAAATATCAGGATAAATAAATAAGATTAGAGAAAGGCGGGTCTTGCATTTGCCTTTGAAAATATCTGGGTGTTGTATATTTACAGTATAATCTATATTAATTGCAGTCTATTTATATCACTGAAATATATTTTATTTCATACAAAGTGCCTCATAAAACTACTTGGCATCGTGCCTGTTTCCATCCTCTCGCCAAATAGGAAAGAAAGTGTATCATTAAGTTTCCGGCCTCTGTATTGGCCGTCCACTGGACCTTCATGATGAGGCGTGACAGCAAAGACCTGACAAAATGAGACTGTGTGACCGTCTCAATCCACTCTTCTTTTTTTTCCAGAGAACTTCAATCACTCAATTTCTCTGAGTCTCTCAGTCTGCTTCCAATCCCAGCAAACAGCTGGCCCTGGCATTTAGAACACATGGGGATTATGAGGTTGATTTAGTTAGAGGCTCAATCCAGAATCAGACCATTGCAACACTTATGATGACGAGATCACCTCTCTGACGGATATTTTCATACTGATTTCATGCATTTACAGCAGTGGAAGCTTATCTATCTATCTATCTATCTATCTATCTATCTATTTATCTATCTATCTATCTATCTGTTGATCTATCTATCTATCTATCTATCTATCTGTTTATCTATCTATCTATCTATCTATCTATCTGTCTATCTATCTATCTGTCTAATGCTAGTCAAAAGTTCAGGGATTGTGAGAAACATTATGTTTGTTATTACATCATTACACATTTGCTTTTATTCATCCTGTGTAGGTTTTTTTTCCACTAGTGTTTTTTAACTAATGCTGGATTAAAGAAATCTCTGTCGCTGAATATTGTACTTCCTGTTTAATCTCTTGTGTCAGTATCACTTCAGTTAACGATCAGGTGCTTTCATTTGACCACTGGAATCCAAGGAATGCTGCTGTTAGAGGGTGTGTATAAATAGTTCAGGTGTGTGTGTGTGTGTGTGTGTGTGTGTCAACGTGCTTTGCCAGCGTGCGTGCAGAATATTAAATCTGTGAATTCAAGTAAACAGCCTAGTGTTCCTGGCCTCTCATTGGCTATAACAAGCGGCTGATTTGCATGTGGTGGGAGTGTCCTGAGCCAGCACTGAGATGAATGACTTGTTCAAGTCAGATAGCATTAAGGCTTAGAGCTCAGCAGAGGTCTGCGCTGCTCAGCACTCAAAATGCCTGGGTTACTTAAACTGCCTCTTTTACTGCTGTAAGTGGGAAGTGCTGGACCGGGACAGAAACATGATCGACAGCCAACACCACGGTCTTAGCAAAAGAGGAGGACTATGGGTACGTTTCCTGATAATTCAATTTACACACAAACTTCCCTTTAAAAACTGCAAGTAGCTTTTATGATGCTGTGTAAACAAGGAAGAGAGACACAGCTAGGCCCTCTCTGTATTACACAGTTTTTTTTTTAATGACTTAAACTTGTGTAAAAGTAACTTAAGGTTCATGACAAATTGAATTTCATGACTGGCTGAATGAACATTATAAAGGGAGTTACACTAAGTGTCATGATTACAATTCAAATTGTGGTTGCCAGTGTCCACAGAGCTCTGCATCTTCTATTATAACTAGAAAATAATGTTCACACTGAATAATAAAACATTAGTGCTGCCTCATTTAGCAGACCTCATTCTGCAACCCTCTCATTAAACTGTGTTATCTTTAACTGTCTTGTATTACAGGGATTGTGCATCCTCTTGCTTTACACCAGCCCTCTCTCCTGTTTTGCAAATTTCAGCCAAGCGAAAGAGCTCATCTATAAGATAAAGGAGGGATTACCCAGAGGGACCTTCATAGGGGCCATCGGAGTAGACTTAAATTTGGATTTTACTGTTGAGCCCCCCTTTTTATTCAATCTCCCGCAAAAGAAGGTCAGTGGACAGTATGTGAATCTAAATAATACCACTGGAGAGCTTTTCACATCTGCCACAGAGATTGACAGGGAGACCCTCTGTCCTGAAAACTCAGAGGGACGGGGATGTGTCCTGTCGCTGGATGTCTTTGTGTTGCCTCAGCAGTACTTTCAGCTCATCAAAGTCAAGATCGTCATTGAGGATGTGAACGACAACAGGCCAATGTTCCCCACAGATGAGATCTGCTTGTCTGTCCCTGAAAACACACCGATTAATGCTCGTTATGCAGTGGAGCAGTCTGCGGTGGACCCGGACCTGGGTGTTCACGGAGTGCAGACCTACTGGCTGGTTAACGACTTTGGTGTGTTCACGCTGGACGTTGAGGAGAACGAGGGTGGAGAGCTGACACCTTTTCTCATTGTGACAGAAGCCTTGGACAGAGAGAAACAGGCTGAATACATTACAGATATCATCGCAGAGGATGGCGGGACCCCTCCTCTTCTCGGTGCTGCTACTTTAAAGATTTTCATCACAGATGTGAACGATAACTGCCCCCAATTCACAGAGTCACATATTAATGTGACTCTGTATGGGAATACCAGCAAAGGGGCCCATTTGGCACGTTTGCATGCTTTTGACCCTGACCTCGGTGCTAATGCTCAGATCAGCTACGCTTACAGTGAACGTGTGCCAAGGGACACCAGGAGCTTGTTCCATTTGGACAGAATCACAGGGGGGATCAAGCTTGCAGGGAAAATAGACACTGTCACATCCACCTTTTTCAAACTCACGGTTCTGGCTAATGGACCTGGTTGTATCCCTGCTGTCGCCACTGTTACTGTTCATATCATCCAAGTTGTGACTGGACCCCCTGCTGTCATACCCCGGTACATTGCACCAGAAAAGGACGGAGTGGTGAAAATAAAGGAGTCTGAGCCAGTGTTTTCTCCGATTGCTTTTTTTACTATTAAAAACATTGATATGAACCAAAGGGTGGACTGTCTTCTGGAAGGGACTGGTCCCTTCAGACTGGGCCCCTATCAGCAGTTAAAAAATGAATACCTGCTGGAGACTACAGAGCCCCTGGACTATGAAAAGATACAGGAGTATGAACTGATTGTGGTTGCTAAGAATACTGGAGGGCTTGTCATCAAGACCTTCCTCAAGGTGCAGGTTTTGGATGAGAATGATAACGCACCAGTGTTCCAGCAGTCTTTGGTGGAAATATCTGTGGAGGAAAACAATACACCAAACACCTTTCTAACACAACTCCAAGCCTCAGACCAGGACAGCGAAAACCGAGGGGAGGTCATCTACCTCCTTGGAGGTGACACCCCTGGGATCTTTGCTATAGATCGAGTGACAGGTGTCCTGACTGTGACCACGTCGCTGGACCGTGAGGAGAAAGAGAAATACCGATTCATAGTGAGAGCAGTGGATCAGGGGACGCCCAGGAGGGAGTCGATTGCAACTGTGGTGGTGACGGTGCAAGATCGGAATGACAACAGCCCACGCTTCATCAATAAGGACTTTACTTTCTTTGTTCCAGAGAACTTCCCAGGGTATGGTGAGATTGGAGTCCTCTCTGTGATGGATGCTGATGCTGGAGAAAATGGCTGGGTGGCCCTTTCCATCCTGAACGGCAGTGACATCTTCATGATAGACACAGGGCGAGGAGCACTGAGGGCCAAGACATCACTGGACCGTGAGCAACAAGGGACTTACACATTGTGGATTGAGGCCATTGATGGTGGAGAACCTGCTCTTTCCTGTGTCACCATGGTGACTGTATTGTTGTTGGATGTAAATGACAACCCACCTATTGTCCTCTTTCCTCAGTCCAATCAGTCCTACATGCTAGTTCTCCCAAATACGTTACCAGGAACATCGATCACAGAGGTGTATGCCGTGGATAAGGATACAGGCATGAATGCTGTGATCGCCTATAGTATCGTTAAGAGGAAAGGTGGAGAACCGGGGTCCTTCGCCATTGACCCAGAAACAGGAAATATCACTTTAAAGAGAGAACTCAGCAACCGGGGCCTCTACAGCCTTCTGGTGAAGGTCAGTGATCATGGTCAGCCAGAACCACTTTACTCAACAGTAATGGTCAACTTCTTTGTCAATGAAACAGTGAGCAATGAGAGTTACATCCAGAGTCTGCTGACCAGAGAGGCTGACATAGAGATAGAGGAGAGGCCTTGGTACATTGGCCAGATGACAGAGGGGCCTGAACGGTATGAGCGGTTCCCATGTCAGCCTGTCCTCATTTTTCTCTCAGTTGCCTGCCTGGGGCTACTCTTCGCAGTCATTACTCTGACAGCTTACATATGCTGTAAGAGGTTTAAAAAGCACAGAAAGAAAAGATCGGAAGTGGAAATACCTTTAAAAATGAAGAACGACTCCATGCAGGTTGTGAACAGAAAGCTCAGGCAGATCTCGAATATTTAATACTCAGCTGTCCACAAATTCCAAAAAGTACCACCGCTGTTTACAAGAATGTTTACAAAACTCACTGTGAGAAATGTAGGTCTCGTATGAAGTTGCTCTTTTCGCTTTTGTCATATAAATTTTATTACTGCAAAACATTGTGATTTAAATTGTATGCCACACTAGTCCTGTGCTCTCCCTTCTGCTTCTAATCACGTCTATGAACACCAACACTTGGGTTGTGTGTCAGCAAACCAAAGTAAAGAAATAATTGTATTGGTGTCAAAGTAATAACAGCTTTATTACAAAGTCATGAGAGCAACTCATTAGTCTATGGTCCAATGTAAATACTGTAAAAAAATTTTACAACTTTATATACAACTTTTGCATTCGCTTGACAAAGAGAGAAAACAGTTCAAGGCACAACAAATATTTCTTCCTTCATCTCTTGATAGTCGCTATTACAGTTTACAATTATGGAGAAGTGATTGCTTTTGGAAGCTGGAAACATCTGGAACATGTGTTTTTTTTAAACAGTTTAAAAATGTAACAGTTTAAATCCAGTTCAAAAGAAAATTTACTTTATTTGAGAACATTCTGAAAATGTATTTTTGGATGTGAAACAGTAGATTGACCAGAAAACCTCAGTAATAACAATCAATCAATGTTGTCTCCCTAGTTTTTCTAGTACTTTCAGTCACATCACACATCTGTAATGTGGCTATTTTGGGCTTATATGCGTTGCAGAATATACACAATGATAAAATATATATTACATTACAGGTTGAAAGCTCTTGAAAAAAAAGTAAGTGGACCTTGAGTTAAGCTTTTCCTTGTCCAAATTCTGTGTGATGGCTGAGAGCCATGGTTCACAACCAGATGCCCTACTTCCTGCGAAGGCTCACTGATGGTGCACTGTGTGTAAAACCTTTCAGTGCCACCTCACTGTGGCACACTCACATCTTTTCATCACACGGAGCAATTTGAACTGTTTCATCTTTGTCATCTGCTTCAAGTCACGTCCATCACCCTCCTTTATACGACCTCTCAGTTCTCAACGTGTCTGTGAAAACATGCTGTTTGTGAAAGAAAATCTAACTATTAAAGATACTTTATTTTTTTTAAATACACTGTTTTTGCTGTATTGATATCACCTGCATGCCCTGATGTGTTTTTAAATGTGATGTATCAGAGCTTATTTGATATTTAATAAGATTTGAAGGTGCAATTTATCCTACTTCTCGCCACAAAATACACCAGATGTTTTTTTGTTGAATCATTGAGAACTTCCTTCAGTGGTGTATGAATAATTAATTATATTATAAAAACTGGATCAAAGTGAGATAGCAACCTCTTCAGACATGATTAAATCTGGTGTACAAATTAATTATTGCACCTCAGATGAAGACGAAATAGTCAAAGATCAAAAGCGTGAGAGGCTGCGTTGTTGTCATCACCTGTGCAGACAGAGCGAGCTGTTGAGCTAACACCCAGAGTCACGCTGTGCTGACAACTACCCCCGTCTGGAACATTTCAGGATCAAATCAATTTAGTCTAACAAACAGCATTTCTCAGGCTTTTTGAGTGCTACTCACAAAAATATCCAAAAAGTCTGTACCTAGACATTGTGAAGGGGGTTTTAGATGTTTTTTTCTTCCACCTCATGGACCTGCTGTGCCCTCTGCTCCACACAGCAGCTGCATTTTTAACCCTGTGCCAGTTGCATGCCTGTTGTGAAAGTTGTGTAGACAGAAAGGCTTCAGGACTCTGTGTATTCCTGTTAACCACTAACACTCCCAAGTCAGGAACTCACGTGTATTAGATATCCTTCGAAACCTGTTCGGGTTTGGCTCTTAGAGAACAAGAAGCGTGCAAACATACCAGCTCTGAGACTCTATTCACACTTAGCAGCTTCTCATGTTATAATCAGCATTTCAGTGCTGAAGCACGTCATGTAAGCACAGAGCACATCCGCAGCTCCAAACAGCTCAGTGTAATCCTGCAGTAATCACCTCTGGCCAAACTGTGCATTACACAAAAATGAGAAAAAAGATTATAATTATTTGTGTTTATGTGCACAGTGATTCTTTTTCAAGACAGGTAACAACACAGGTCATATAATAAACCCCCCCAAGTCATGATGTTTAAATACTGTGTCTGCTTCATGTCACGGGGAAGTTAGACGTTGCTTAATGTCTTGGACGGGTTCAAAAGGCCACTTAGTGTATCATCAAGTTGTTGGAGATCAAAAGAACAAACAGTGTAAGCACGGTGCATTCCTCCAATGTGTGTGTGTGTGTGTGTGTGTGTGTGTGTGTGTCTTTACTAAGAAGCACACTGAGCTGAAAGATGTTCCGTATGTCAGTGCTGCCTCTTTGCACAGAACTTTCATCTCTGTGTTTCAAAAAAAACAACACGATTAGGTTGTTGATGATACATATTTAAATATATATTTCATAATCAGCACTCGAGGCGTCTCTGACTTTAGGATTTTGAACTCCTATGGACAATCAATCAATACTCTGGGTGTTATGTTCCACATCTGTCTACAACACATACATCAGCCACCAAGGCAATGGCTGTTTGCAGCCAAGTGACACAGAATTTAAGATGATTTCTGCACATTGTTTTACACTGAGCAAACAATTACAGCATATGATTAATAGCAGTAATAAAAGTGGAGGTTTTTATTTTCAACATTAACATCAACCTTTTTTTGATTCTCTCAATTAGTCACTTTCACTCAGGATGTTGAAATGGGAAACACGTCATACAAGCCCTTTAGGCCTATTAAAGCTTAAACCCAGATGTTATAATGACAAAGTACACTCCTGTGTGCAATAACAAACAATGGCTCTGCACAAGGTTTGCACAAGGTTCAGATACTTTCACATTAACAAGGAACAATTACCCTAAATTTAACAATGAAAAATATGCCATTTCTACCTTATTCATTATTTTGAACCCTTGTTTATTTTGTTGATTATAAACTTAGGTGGTTAAAAAAAAGTTTGAATAAATTCTCAAATTAATTCGTAGACGGTTCATGTATTTTGATACATATACAGGCGACAAAATAATAGGAACATCTTCGGTTCTCCTGTAGTGGTGTGGTCAACAACTAATAACAAATTATATGCTGAAAAATTACCCAACAACGAAAACTTTTTACATGACTGAGAGTCTACAGCCTTCATTTAATTTAAGTGGTTATCAATATAAATTTAGCTAAGCTGCACCAGGGGCGTTAAAATGGAGTTTGGGGGCCCAAGTTAAAAGTGATCTGGGGGGCCCTACATCGAACCAAACCGACATTTAAAAAAAACATAATTCCAGATTCGTTAAAGTAGTAAAGTTTAAGTTTAACCACCACCATCATCCCAGGCACATCATATACACACATCCTAGTCTTAAACCTCAAACCTCTTCTGGCAGAATGGGCAGCATGGAGTCTTGTTAGGTTCCAATTATTGTGTTGTTGAAGTCTCTTGTACACAGTTAATCATAGAGTTCAAGGGGGTGGCAGTGGACTTACATAATCAGCAGTTCTCTGGGCCCCCCTCCTCTCAGCTTGGGGGACCAGACACACTTGCTTGGTTTGCCTACTCTGTTGCAAACCCTTGATTAGCTCTAAAAACAAAGGTACAACAAATTTCATGGGCATTCATCCAATAGATGCTCAGATAGTTTTGTTTGTTTTTATTGGAGTTATGTTTTTTTGTTGTTTCACCAACATGAGATCCTTATTTTAGTACATGTGGGAACCATTGATGAAATAATTCAATGTGTGCCAATTCAAACAGATGCTGAGACATTACACTTGAAAGTGAAGACTGGATGTTGGTGCTAGATGAGAAGTTGATTCATCGTCAATGTGGTTCATCATTCATCTTTAAGAATACATTGAAGTTCTTGACCACAGTGGAGAGGATGGACCGACAAATAATACATTTTTTAGGCTTCGAAAGAAAATAGCAGTTTGTTTTCATCTGGCTGCTTGAAATCAAATCTGCAGCATGTGTCAGCAGCTCGAGTAGTAACTCAAGTACTGTACTGTATCAAACAGCGATTTGATCGACACATCCTTCTGTCCAACATTATCCTCTATAGGACCTTTCACCCTCAACCTTAATTGCTTTTAACCTTCCAGAGTGTCATTTTGCTATGTCTCTGTCTCATTACAAGAATCCTGCTCTAAGTTTTGCTCACAGTAGCTGGAAACAGCTGGGAAGGGCCAGGGTCACCCAGACTGAGACACTCTGCAGCTTTTCTACATGACTGATCACCTCCTGTTGCTGTAATCCCGCTGACAGCCAGTCCAGCATCTTCAGACGAGGGCAGAATAGACAGTAGAGGAGTGAATTGGCTTAAGTCAGGCTCTGCAACTCTTTGTGACCCCAGGGATTAGTCTTACACACTGATTTACTACACGTAGGTTATTAAAAAGACATAATTCTCAAGCAGAGGAGGTGTTAAGACAGAAAAACCTCATGCATGGAGGAGCATCGGGGTAGGACTGCACAACATGGCTGAAAAATATATCAAGACACAAATGTTCATATCGGTCAACACTGACAATCATCACATCAAAAGTCACATTATTGTTCTCTATGGTTTAAAGACTAATTTCTGCAACTGAGTAAAGGTTGTGGTTTTAAAGAAAGACAAACATTTAATAAATAGCAAAACATCTGACCAGTCTGACGTAGATCAATTATGTGTTACATCCTCATTTCTATCAAATAGCTAATTAAAACTTTATTTATACTGCAGCCAGCCACCAGGGGGCTATATATATGCTAATATTGTTAAATTGCACAGCCCGACACTGAAGCATTTCTTTAACTATGTTTTCATTGTCTGTAGATGTTAAACATATAATTAAGGATTTAGTCTTCAGGCTCAACGTAAACACTGGTCCTACGACTCTCTCTCTTTCTCTCTCTCTCTCTCTCTCTCTCTCTCTCTCTCTCTCTCTCTCTCTCCAGGAATGTGGGAAAGTCTTTCTGAAATTACATTAAATTCTTAATGGTGTAGACAGCAAGTAATTACCATCAGCCACAGCCTGATCCCATTTCCAGATTGGCTTTATTGTCGCGTCCCGGCCTTGAAATCAAATAAATAAAGACACAATGAGAGGCCTAGGTTGGGTTACACAGATCTGATGAATAGAAGAGGCTACATTTCCCAAGTTATGACATGAAATACGATCCCCCCTCACCCTACACACACACACACACACACACATTTAAGCCACCATTTTCAATAATGCATCTTCAT